GGTGGTTGTAAGGATGTGAAAAGATTATAGTACTGTTGTTGTTGTTATGTGCCATCCAGTTGCTTGCGACTCATAGTGACCCTATGTACAAGAGTTCTAAACGCTCTTCTATCCTGTGCCAACCTAGCCATCTCAAAAGCACCTATTCCCACCACTCCAGTCACAGAATCGATCCATCTCATTGAAGGTCTTCCTCTCCTTCACCACCCCTCCACTCTGCCAAACATGATGTCCCTCTCCAAGGTTCAGTCCCTCCTTGTAACATGCCCAAAGTATGTCAGACGAAGCTTCAGAATCCTTGACTCCAAAGAGCCTTCTGGCTTCATCCTCTCCAGGACAAACCTGTTTGTTCTCCTAGCAGTCCATGGTATATTCAACACTCTTCTTCAGCACCACAGCTCAAAGGCATCAATTCTCTTTCTATCATAGTATTCACTGTCCATCTCTCTGATGCATAGCATGTAATTGCGAAGACTATAGCCTGGATCAGGCGCACCTTAGTCTCCAGTCTGACGTCGTTGCTCTTCAGTACTCTTGAGTGGTCCCTCACAGCCAACTTTCCCAATACAATTCATCTCTTGATTTCCTGGCTGCTATTACCAAGAGTGTTGACTGTGGAGCCAAGTAAACAAAAACTGTTAACTATCTCAATCTCTTCACCATCCATACTGATGCTGCCAGTTGGCCCAGTGGTGAGAATCTTTGTTTTCTTGATGTTGAGCTTCAGTCCATATAGGAGGCTGTAGTCCTTGATCTTCTGCAGCAAGCGCTTCAGGTCCTCCTCAGTTTCAGCAAGCATTGTTATGTCATCTGCATAATGCAGGTTGTTGATGAATTTTCCACCAATCCTGACGCCACATTCCTCTTCGTATAGCCCAGCGTCTCGGATGATCTATAATTGAATTATAGTACTGGGGATTGTAAAATAGTCTTCTGAAACGACACAGTTTCTGACGTCCCTAATAAGCAAACTAGATGCTGTTGCATTGACTCTGGTGACCCGTGTGTGTGAAAGTACAGGTAGTTTTTCAGTGGTTGATATTTTGGTGGTTGATCACCAGATCTTTCTTCTGAGGAGCCCCTGAATGTGTGTGAACCTTCAAACTTTTGGTAAGTAGCTAGTCACTTAACTCTTGGTACCATCCAAGGAGTCCTGAGGTCATAGATGGGAGGAGGCTTCTGCTGCCCTTTTAAATAATTCCCTTGGGCCAGCCAGATGTTCTGCTGGGCCTGACCTCCTGGAGCAGGCAGGTACTTCGCTTTCAGGTACCGTGACGGGAGGCTTGGGAGGGAACTCAGGCTGATGTACGGCAGTTGAGCTGCCGCCAGTCCCTAATGACCCCACAGAAATCTTTGGGAAGTAGTGATCAATAACTCACTAACCATCTCTTTTGTTTGAGCTGTTAAGAATGAAAGTGAGGAAAATGGATATTTATGTAACTCCCCGCAGAAGAGATTTTTATTGATTGAGCCCTGAAAAAGCAAAACCAACTCTGGATTTGGAAGAGTAAGTTTTAGAATCACCTAATTTAAAAAAATTAAACCCGAAGGGCTTGCATTTAGTCGCATGGTAATTTGATATGCATTTGAATTTATAATAACCTCCCATATTTTATAGAAGATGGTTTTACAAAAGTGGTCTAAACATTATTGGATTCTAATAGGGTCCCCCCCGCCTTTTAGTGGCCAGTTATCTTAATCTGCTTATAATACATTTATTTCTAATAAATTTACTTTTAAAGAGCAATAGATTTATAATCGACTCTTCATTGATAGACTATAATTTGCTCGGTATCCATCAGCCAGTTAACTCTCTGGGGGAGAGACAGAGATGTTCCTTTGTGTTTGGCAATTGTTGAAAGTGTGGCATAGAGAGAAATGCTTTCATTTGCTACTTTATAAGAAGCCTTTGCGTCCCCAGGGGAGGGATGGGCAGTGTTTCCCCGCTGAGTGCCAGGGTCCCAAGTCTCTGCTCGCCCCCATGGTGAGGCACACGTGTGACAGAAGCCTGGCTGTGAGCTAAAATTGAGCTCTACTGAAGACTCAGATAGGATGCTGCTGGAGGGGAGACTGGACAGTAACTCCAGCTCTGATGGGGGCACTAGGAAAGGACATTAACGAAAAATTTGGTCCTCATTCTGGATTTCCCCTGTTTGGCTCTGAAGGGTGTAAGGATGGGATAGAATCAGCAAGACACACTCTGAAATAGGGTAACCTGGGTGAAGCAAACTCCACTTCCATTTCTCTACTTGGGGTTTCCTACAGTGTGAACTTGGTGGGGACTAAGCTCAGTAAAGTAAAACCTCATGGAACCGTTGGCATCTAGTTACCAGCAGTTCATGTGTGTGTGTATGTGTGTATGCCTCCGTCCTGGCAGTGACAATGGCATAGCTTCTTGCTCTGGCTGGATAAGCGAGGCCTGCCTGGTCATCGTGCTGGAGGCCTGCCTTCCTCCTGGGCTCCCCGCAGTAGTGAGTGTTCCTGGGCACCTCCTTCCCTGTCTAGGATGCTATTTCACCTGTCCAGTGGTTCTGATGCCTCCCCAGGACCAGGAGGCCTGTCCTTTGAGGTCGACCCCCTCCCTGTGACTACAGCTGGGAAGGGCTGCCAGGGTGAGGGGCCCATGGCAATTTTTACAGGAACAGACCTTAGCTTAGCTAGTGCTCCCCAGAGGTGGCGAGGAGCCCCCATTCTCATGCATGCCACCCTCTACGTTGGACTGTTGCGCAGTGGACACAGGTGGTTCTGCTGCCTGAGAAGAAAGGATTCAGAAGCAAAATATTACATTCACGCCCTGGTTTCCCCACTCATATTAATTAGAACTTTCTCTGTTTTAGGAATTCCTGAGTGGCTCACACTGTTAAATGCTAAACTGCTAGCTGCGAGGTGGGTGGTTTGAATCCACCCAGAGGTGCCTCTGCACACATGGGGTTAACCTGGGGTGGAACAAGCAGATGAGCGCTCAACTCCTAACCAGACATTTGGAACTTGGCTTTGATCTGCTTCTGTCCCTCACCTCACCCCGGAGGTGCCAGGTCTTGGTGGGAGGCAGGCTAGGCTCCCTCCTCCTTTGTCTGTTTCATCACTGGCCAAAGGGTTTGGGCTGAGAGGCTTAGGAAGCAGGCTGCTTGCTACTCTCTGTGGTGGAAACTGAGCCTTCCTGGCCCCTTGCCTAGCTGGTATAGTGTGAAGCCCCAGCCTTCCTGGCCCCTTGCCTAGCTGGTATGGTGTGAAGCCCCAGCCTTCCTTCACCTTCCCAGGTGCTGCTCCTAATATTCCACCCTCAGGGAGCCTGCCCACCTGTCAGCCAGGCCTGCATCAGAAGCAGCTCATCTCCAAAGTCTCCTTGTAAGTGATTGAGACAGTAAATCACAAACCGAGCTGGGTGGGGCTTTCAGTCCTGCATCAAGGCCAGGCTTTAGCTTTATTCTTCTCTTTAACTCAGTGGATGAAAGTGAGAACTTGAAATGCTTTGCTGCATTGAGCCCTGAAACCCTAGTTGCAAAAGGGTCTCACTTTAAATGTGTCGTTCTTACCTCGAGGGTTATCTCAGTGTCTTCTCTCCTCCTGTTTGGCCAGTGAGGGGGAAGGTGAGAAGAGGCATGCCATAGCAAGTGTGATCTGATTGATCGCACAGTTAACACACAGTGTCACGTGGAAAACAAGTATAAAATACTTGAAAAGAGAAAGTATGCACTCACAGTCAAGTGAAATAGCCCCTCGCTCTGTATTTTCTTACAGAGTTTCTAATCACCAACACAGCGCCGCTCCTGTGATTGTCCTAGTGGATTAAAGTCCAGTGTGTTTACAAACTGGCAGAATGATCCCGAGAGGAGCAGGGGAGCCAAAGAAGTGACATTGCTCTCCAAGCATCCGTGAACACCTTTAAGACGGGAAGCTTTTGCAGCTTGATCCAGAGGAGTTGCGTCTGGGTAGAAGGGGTTCTTAGGGTCTCAGATGGGGAGGCGATTTCTTTCTTTGTATTTTTTTTCTTCGATTTCTTTTGTCTGGTGGAACCGTGCTTATGACAATAAAAAACCCCCCAAACTGTATAAAACACAATGTGAATGAAGGATAGTATGAAACAGTGTATACAAGCTTCATAATATAAAATAAAGATTAAAAAAATCCCAAAACCATTGCCATTACATCAATTTCATGGCATGGTGATCCTACGTGTTACAGAGTAAAACCATCTTTCACAGGAATTTATTGACTGTAATCTTTACAGAAGATTGTCAGGCTTTCCCCCCGCCCCCGCAGTGGTACTAGGTAGGCTCGAACCTCCAACCTTGAGGTTAGTTGTCAAGTGTAAACTGTTCATAGAGTCCTGTTGTTGTTGTTGTTATGTGCCGTCGAGTCGCTTGCTACTCATAGCGACCCTATATACAACAGCCCTAAACTCCGCTCTGTCCTGTGCCAATTGCACTGTCTCTGACTCTCCCATCCTAATTATCCCAGTCACTGAATCTCAATCCACCTCATAGAGGGCCTTCCACTCCTGCACTGTCCCTCCACCCTCCCAAGCATGATGTCCTTCTCCAAGGACTGGTCTCTCCTCACAACATGTCCAAAGTATGTCAGAATCCTTGCCTCCAAGGAGCCACCCGGTTTAACCCTTTCCAGGACAAATCTGTTTGTTTTCCTAGCAGTCCATGATACTCTCAATACTCTTCTCCAGCACCACAGCTCAAAGGCATCAATTCTCCTTCTATCCTCCTTGGTCATTGTCCAACTCTCTGATGCAAAGACCATGGCCTGTATCAGATGCACCTTAGTCTCCAGAGAGACACCATTGCTCTTCAGTACTTTGGAGAGGTCCCTAACGGAGACTTTTCCATGGCAATGTGCCTTTAATTTCCTGGCTGCTGGTGCCAAGACTGTTGACTGTGGAGCCAAGCAAACTAAAGCTGTGTAAACTTAAGTCTGAGGTTGAGTCCCCTCCCCAGGTCACTTTTGATGACTCCCACCCAAGTGTGCTCTCTCTCTTTCACTTCTAGGTGCCATCTGCCACCTCGCTGTCCAATTTGACATTCATGCACATGATTCGCTGGGCTGTCTGGAGCCCTGGGCCAAACCCTGACTCTGGGCAGGTGACCTTGCCTCTGCAGGGTGGGACCCAGCTAGGCCCCTCACACTGTCTGGTCTACAAGGTGCCTTCAACCAGCATGAGCTCCGAGGAGGTAAGTTGTTACATCTAAAAGCTTGCTTCTGTGAAAAACTTAGAGGAAGTTCTTGGGTTAATTTCCAAACAGTGACAAATATGCTGTCAGGGGTTTTGTGTATACCATTGTTTATGCCAGTCATGAGTATGCCCTTAAATTACTGAGTCTGAGAGCCAAGTACTATTCAGAGTAAATTCAGAGACTGCTTTTACTTTGGGTCCGAGAGCCTCCTGGTACACGTTCAGTCTCCACCAATCGCTGGACCAGTGGCACTTACTGCATGTGCTTCGCAGAGCCACTGACTCTTGATAAAGGATGGCTTGGAGCTCTTGGCACATCAGAAAACAGGCTCCCTGCTATCTTCTGCTGGTGAGATTTTTTTTTTTGTCAAACAGGTCGGGTGGTGGAGCTGGGGGGCTCTGACTGACTCATCTCTGTGACTTTGTCCCTCACGCCTGCTGGACCTCGAACTTCTTGTTTGTATACAAGTGCTGGGCCATAGTCTCAAGTTTGTAGTTTGTTTCTTTTTTTTTGAAAATTTCTTACTTCCTGTTCTGATTATACACAGCAAAACATACATGAATTCAGCATAAGCAAGTCAGTGGCACTGGTGTAAGTCTTCCAACTGGCTTGAAGTAGTCAACCAGGTGGGGGGACACAGGGCAGCACATTTGTTGCATAGCAGCCACATCTCTTGTGTGGTGATTGTTTTTTAAATTTTAAAAATTTTTTTAAAAAATTTATTATTAATTTCAGTGAAAATGTACAGAGACTTTGGATTTTCATTCATTCATTGTTGCACTTTTCTCCCCTTCTAACCCTCCCCACCCCCCCAGTACACTACCCTCTTGGAAAAGTAAATTTTTTTCATTGTTTTACAAACCCTCCTCCAGGTCCACTCTACCATATAGCCTTCGCTCTGGACTCCTGTCATGACAAAAATCCCTAATCACATACCCCTTTTAAACAGTTTTCTCCCTCATCTGTTTCAATGCAGTATACATTATTAAACCCATCTTTCTCAGTCTCTCCCAACCCTGAGGTCAGTCATGCTTTACAACAGTGGCACCTGCTTTACACTAGTGACTGAGATACTTCACTTAGCATAATGTCCTCCAGGGTCACCCATTTTGAATAATATTGCATGAGTTCCTTGTTTTTCAATGCAGCGTAGTATTCCATTGTGTGAATATACCAC